CACTTTTTCTAAATAACATTGTAAGTTCATTGATTGGCTAATATTGCAGTGTAATTTTAATTTTACTCGTCATATTCTGAAGATTATGGAATATTCTGTGATTTGGAGGTGCTAAAATGTTATTACACACAGGTTTTTTCTTTCTTTTTGCTCAGAACAAAACAAAACAAAAAAAAACACTAATCTATAGCACTTAAGACATTTGACAAAATCACACACAGAACTGGCAAAAGGTACTGCAGAGGACACGCGCAGACGTCACGTATCTTCTCAGGTAGTTTCTCAGGCAGCTTCTCACGCGAGAAGGGGGGCGACGAAAGTGTCGCGCTTCTTATCACACGTCATTGGTCACGGCTTCTGCTCACGGCAAAGTACGCGACGATCACGACTGATTGCTTAGTTAGCTATGGCGAGTGAATCATGCCGGGGATAACCTACTGAAGTCGACAGTCGTGTACTTTTTACATGTGAGAAGGGGTACGTCGCAACACAGACACGTGACACCAACGCCTTAGAGAAGTACGTCGCCACCACAATAAATTAATATCTTAAGCTCATGTGTTTTTTTCTAGGTTTTCTTATTTTCTTTGTTATCCTTATTATCAATCATTAACTTTTTTGTTTTACTTTCCTGTGTTCTGATGACATTGAATATAGCCTTGATATAAATTGTGTATTGCATACAAAGCTGTATGTCATTAATGTCATCTCTGTACTGTTTACAAACATAATAATTAAAAAAAAAAAATTTAATTCACTTTCTCTTGGAGATTAATGACACCTGTTATACACCAAAAAAAAAAGAATTAATTCACTTTCTCTTGGAGATTAATGACACCTGTTATACACCATCAAAGTCGCAATTTTATGCTATGTTGACGATTATTTACAACAACTTCAAACATAAACACAAATTTAATCATTATAATCTATAAACATAATATTCTGGGATATGTCATTCTGAGCTTTTACTTTTGATGGTGGTAAGAATTTTAATTAACACAACTGACTATACAATGTGTGAATACATTAGCTCAAAATATCAGACTATATGCGATATTGTTTTCAGGAGATGAAGCCATTTTAATAGCCTATTCTTTTCAAGAAATCAACAATGGCAAAATATATGACAGGAAAATACTATTCTAATGCAGGTTCATTTTCAAATGTTTTAACTAGGGCTGATTATTTAACTTTTAATAATCAGTAATGATTATTTTGTTAATCATCTGCTAAAGCTTTTATTTATATATTTTTGGTAATTAAGATAAGTGAACAATATATTTTAGTACGAATTCAATACATATAATAATTGAGGAAATAATACTTGGTTGAAATAAAGTATCAAAAGTAAGTAGTCATATTGTTTTACTGATCAACACTATTAAAATAAATTAAGAAATGTATAAACAATAAACTTGCGTATTTTATGTATTATAACAAATGCCAGCAGAGGACGCCAGCGGCCTGACGATTGTTGTTACACTTTACATCACGAGCAAACCATTGTTTATCTAATGTTTAATTGCATTTAATCTGTAATGTTTGGCCACATATTTATGATAGAAATGCTACAGCCAACAGTTTAAAGTTTTATTTTGAAACCTTAAACATTTATTTATATATTTATAAATATATTGATGCATTCTCATGTTTTGCTGGCGTATGTTTTTAAGTTGCTACAAATAATTTCAGCAGCACAAGTTTTGTCCACATTCCCAAATGCAAGTTATTGTGGGGAAAAAAAGTACCAAGCATAGAATGAAATAATACAAGGACTATAAATGGTTTTGCCACAAACTCAACTCTGTTGAACAGAACAGTACCAGAGGGTTAAAGGGATAGAGATGTTTATGTTGTCAAAAACGTATTTCTTTTTCTTTCTTCTTTGGAAAAGAAAAATTAAAAGGAGACTTATGTAAGACTTTTCCATGTCCCTCAAAAATATGATTATTGAGATTTCTTAAAATAAACACAATGGTTCATTGCAGAGAAATTGTGAAAACTCTTGAAACCATTCATATTTACTGTACAGCTCAGCTGTACATATTTATCTGTGTGTATATATATGTATATACAGTGGGGGAAAAAAGTATTTAGTCAGCCACCAAT